TTGGGGGGGTCAAAGGGTGCATGCTACGCTAATTAAAATGCGTCGGTCGGACTCTAAATGAATTGGATATAGTACTCAGCTCTCTAGTTTCCCCGATGCTTGTCTATTTAAAGTACAGGCTTTCTTTTTCCGCAGTTTTTTTTTTTTTTAAAGTACTTTGCCATTGACACTTGTAAGCGCTCCGTGCTGTTCTAACTGCGTCTGTGTGCGGGTGTGTGTGTATGTGTGTGTTGGTGTGTGTGGTTGTGCGTTTGGCACATTTGTTGATTATTTCGCTTTGATGCGCACAAGAGTATGCAACACAGCGGGTAAGGCAAACAAAAAATTCGTCATTTGAAAGGACGGGCCAACTGTTTTTGCTGTTAATCAGAGTTGTAGCTTAATTAGTTCCTTTGCCATGTATGTGCATGAAATTAATTAGCGTTTTTTTTTTTTGCTTTCATTTTCGCTTTTCTTTTCACACGCAGAGCAAGCATCGATGCTGAGTATGTTCTGTCTGGGTTACTTTGTGTAACATTGAGGCACATACACAAAATACCCTTTTGACATTAGAATCAAACAATTCTCAAGCAAAACCTACTTTTATAGATTTTTCAAGATATATTTAGTTATTATCTACATGTATGTATGAATAGTCACTATCTATCAGTGCGGTCTCTCTCTATTTCTCCGAAAAGTTATCATTTTATATGTTAATAAACTAATTAGGAAAAAAGAAGTGGCCGATCTTGCAGTCAACAAAATGCAAAGATCTTAGATATTCTCAGACTAAATCTACTTTTATTGATTTTTATGATTATCTAGACGTTTGTGGGAAAAAACCTTTCTTTATCATCGCGGGCTCTCTCTTCTCCACCATATATCTTTTAAATGCCGCCTTTCTCTGTGATTCTAGCGAGTTCAAGTTTAGCTGCCAGATGCTTCAGTTATTTTATTTAATTGGAAAGGAAGAGACCCACGTTTTTGCGCTCTTTCCCTTTTTTTTATATCTGTTCATTTTTCTGCTTAACTCTGAATTTTGCTTTCTCGTTGGTGCTTTTTGTATTGTTTGTTGCTTGGCAACCCGTTTGCATTTTGCAGTCATTTACACCCCCCGCTTGGTCATATGGACCTTTTGGCTTTTCGTTTAAGGGCAAACAATAAGCGCCTTGATTTTGCAAAATGAAATTTAATTATGTTTCGCTTTGTGTCCCTGCATGCGTGTGAGTCCTGCTTGATAAATTTGTTGATTCAATAAAAATTCTTCTCACTGGGAAAATTTACATGTTGTTTTTGTTGTTGCTGCTGCTGCTGCTGCTGCTGCTGACACTGTCGGTGACGTCGCTGCTGCTGTCAACCGCAGAAAAGAAAAAGTCGGCTAAAAGAAAAGTTTCGCATGGACATTACGAGTGCGTTGTGTTGTTGGCGAGAGCTGGTGGCAGTTGTGCCTTTCAGTGGGAAGAGGAGATGGAGAGACGCATGTCATACGCCATTTCTCTTTTGAATTTTCATGCAGTTGTTGCCACGCAGCGCCTTTTGTTTTTATTTCTATAAGTGACTGTAGTAGGCGGCGACAATGGCACCAGTTGCAATTGGGCGTGGCCAGCAAAAATCAAGACAGAACGCCAACAGACCGGCTTTTTAATAAAAATGCTGCTGTTAAAATGCTGTGGTCACTTGGCTCCTGCTCCCGCTGCCGACCCCGCCATCGTGCAGCCAGTCTGCAACGAAATTCTCTCATAACGCCATTGGACTCTCTCTGCCCCCCCTTGGGGGGGGCACATTAATATTTCTATTTTTATTGTTTTCGCCTGGACAGTCAGTGCCAGGCGCAGCCAGGCAGCCATTATAACGCGTAACTGTTGCTGACGAGCATATTTATTTCATTTTATTATCATATGCGAAATTCCAATACCCTAAACATAGTTGGGCTCAAATTGAAAGCATATGGGGTTTGGTCTTGAGTAAGAAAGTTACATCTATACAAAATAATGTAATGTTTCTTAGGTATTAAAAAATCAATAAATGTTAACATAAAAGTTGGGTGGAATAATCCCAAAGCTTTGATGTGTGCGCAGACCAGAATTCTCAACTAAGCCTACAACAATAGAATTTGAATATAAAGACAATTATATTTATCCAACATTAAAATTGCTGTTCTTTTTTCTAGCCAATATTTTTTGTGTGAAAAAAAGAACGAACAACTAGTTTCTAGCTATTTTTTAAAACTTATACGATTTCTGCAGTTTGTTTGTTTATTTGCCACTGAGTTTAAATTCCATTTTAACGAATGGCTGCATTCTATAAATATTTATTTAAAGTGTTTCATAGAATTTAATTTTATTGAAGCAAATCCCTTATTGTTTTTAGTTATTGCATGCTTAACAAAGAAAAAAAAGGAAACTTTTAGTATGAATTTTAATATATAAAGAATTATTAAATCCTATTGCAATCTGCAGCGCAGTTGTGTGTCGCATAGTTATAGTTGAATTGGTGTTCTTTTATTTTACATATATGTATATTTTTTTTTTTGTTATTATTTTATTCGCTTTGGACACTCATACGCCATGTTGTCAGCGCTGTTTTCGCCGTTCGGCTGGCCTCATTGCTGTTGTTGTTGTCCTGTTTGCTTGTTCTTCTTCTGACGCTTGTGTTGCCTTGGGTTTTTATTGAAAAATAATTACATGTTACAGTCATGTCCTGTGCGCGCGTATACGCGTGTGTCTGTGTATGTCTCTCTCTGTCAGCGTGGTCTCACTTGGTGCGGTCTATTTGTGCCGCCTTCTCTCCGGCTGTCCATTTGTCCATCTCTGTTTGTCTGTCTGTGGATTTACCCGCACACGCCCGCTGCCATCTACAATGTGCTCCCCAGTCGCCTGTCAAGCGCAGTGTGCATGTGTGTCTTTGCTGACAAAGAGCTATCATAAAATAAAACACGTTTATATATTTTAACAGCGATATTTGTTGTTGTTCCTGTTGTTATTTTCATTCTCCATTATTTTTTGCTGCTGTTGCCAATGTTACTTGTTCTTATTATTTTGTTTTGTGTTTTTTTTTTAATAGTTTGTCACAATTTTTATTTAATTTTAATTGCTTGTTGCATATTAAGTTATATGGTCAGCAAAAACGATTCGCCTGTCACGTGGCCTGACGAGTCGTTGAAGCTGCATAACGCGTTTATATAGAGGCACACGCGTGTTTGGTGTTTCCCTTTTGCATTTTATGACTAGATGAAATTGCGTATACGAGCTTTTATCTGCTTGGTACATTGTGTATAGTTTATATTTGTAAAGCTAAGTTAAGTGTCAGCCTAATTTGATTATTTCAAATTAATATTCTTTACCTTCATTAAATCAAATTAGTTGCAAATTAGTTTCTATATATTTATATGTACATTTATATAAAATATTTTAATTAACTAAATTCTAACTTTATGCTGCTTTAAAGTAGTTATAAATTTCAAATTTTGATTCATGCCTCAAAAACTCTGTCAATTAGCACCAAATTTTGGGCTCAAAAAGTCAAGCTCATGTTTATACGAGAACGTATGCAAACAGTTCAGACCGAGCAAATTGCGTACCTGATCTCACGCAGACAGACACCTACACACACACACACACACACTAACCTAATGTATCTGTCATTTAAATGTGTTGAAATGACCAAAAAAGATAAGCAAACATGGAAAAACATAGTCGAAAATGTTGGCATGTTTCTCAGTTCAGCTTTGTTTGTTGTGTGTGCGTCACAAAGTTAGCAATGTGTATGCGTGTGTGTGGGTAGTTCTCATATGTTTGTTTGAGTGTATCAAAAGATAAAACGTGAAGGCAAACAAGCCAGGGGGTACGAAGTACGGCAACAGGACAACACGTAGCAAAGAGTAATAAGCATGCAGCATACAAAAACCAGAACCAGAGCTACAGCCTTTTTCTGGGCATTGCTCTTCCTGTTAAACCACAGCGAGAAAGAGCGAGAGCAAGAGAGAGAGACAGAAGCAGAGAGTGAGCAAGAGAGAATGAGAGTGAGGTAGATAGATAGAGAGAACATCACATCACCATCACTGCCCGGCTGTGATGAATGACTCTTTTAATTAGTTGCCGCAGGAAATGCATGAATTGCAAAATGACTCTGTTTGTTTACACAGGGACGCCGACCACGACCACGACGACGACTCATCTCTCATTGGGGGCGGCAGTCCAGCAGCACACCCATTTACACACACACACCCGCTCAAGCATATACATATTAGCTGAGGGAGTGTGTGTGTGTGTATTCCTCTATGCGCTCATTTATTAAATAGTAGTTTTCAAGTGTCCTTCAGTGACATGTTGCTTGCTGTTTGTTTCTGCTTGTTGTTGTTCTTGTTGTAGTTTTCACCAGCTAGGGTCGGTTCTTGTGCATCATCGTTCTGCTGCGTGTGTGCCATTTCTTTTTCACAGCCACACAACACTGGACACAACCAAACCCTACCCTAGCTTACTTCATTATTGTGCATACACGAAGGACAACGCATTCACCTCCCCGCCGCCAACCCAGAGCCAGCACAACCGAATGCTCATAGGGACCCGCCTTCGCCTACACTTTGTTCGGCTCTCATTCCCATCTGGGGTATTTCCTGGCAACTTTTCTGCCATTTATTTATCCAGACTAGCGGGCAAGCTTATTAATAATTTTGTCAAGTCGCGGAACAGCTACAATCGAAATAAGGAGCAGAATATGTGAAACAAGTCTTCAAACTGTGCACTGTGAGAAGGGCAACAAGAGAGACAGAGAGATCGAAAGTGAGGGAAATAAAGTAAGGAAAATAAAGAGAAGCCCTCTTGAGCTGTGTTCGATAAGCAGTTAGGGAAATATCCGATAAACTTTGGGGAAAACTCATCAGGCTTTTACCATTTAGAAGGCGCCTTGGAACTGTTTGAGATCTAAAATTTACAATGTTATTCGATCTGCGTCTTCGCAAGAGCATTACTTAATATTATTGAAAATCTCACTAACTACTGGGTGCTTTTCCTTGAAGGCAGAATGATAAAAAGGAAGATAGAGAGTCAGAAATCTGACTGTCAGTTTTATAACTATGTCAGATTTGAATATAGGTTCCCAATCGAAATATTTCATGAAAATATCTTTTGACTGGCACTTGAAATTGAACACACTTCAATGCACTCGATACTTATTTCCAAATTGATTTTGTTGCACTGAAACTCGCTGGCTATGACTCGGCTATATTGGACTCGAAGGTCTCTTAGCTGTTGCCAAGCTGTTTGCCCGGTTGGTTATAAATTTTTATGCTCATTTCGAGCCGAGGCACAATGCAAACAGCTAACATAAACGGGCAACTGCAGCTGAGAATCTTTTAACCATGTCACATACATATATATATGGCAGTTGCTGCCCATTCGCAGCTGCATGTGCTTGTTCAAGAGGCTATGTGTGTGTGTGTGTGTGAGTGTGTGTGATAAAAGTTTCTAATCCAAATCAATTTGCATCAAGAGCCTCATTTCATTCTATTATTTCGCAGCCAATTTACGCCACTGGACTGCGGCTCCATCCTTGTGGACACATCATTTTCGATTACTTTGCACCACCAGCAGCAGCAGCAGCAGCAACAGCAGCGGAGACTATAAAAAGTTACCCATTTTGGTTGCTGTTGTTGCAATTGCTATAAAAGTTTATAACGCGCTTGTTGACAATCCTAATATCAAGTGAGAAGAGTATGAGGGCTTGTCTCTTTGCCGGCACAAATCTCTCTCTCTCTCTCTCTCTCTTCCTTTCATGTCGCTTTGGCTGTCAGCCATTGTTTCATGTGCTTTGTGATGTAATTTTATTGCTGTGTGTATTGCACAAATTCTCATGCTCTCCGCAGATTTGTTTTGTGCCTTGCTCGTGTCAACTTTTCAAAACTATTTCAAAACTGTGAATGACAAAATGTTTAATGGACTTTCAATGCCAAAAGACAACGACGCCGTCGCCGTCGCCGTTGCCGACGTAGTTGACGAAGACAGTTGTCTTTTTAGCATATCCGTTTACACTTCTGCAGCGTGCACAATAAATCAACGCCTAGTTGGAGAATTTGTGCCGCCCTTGGCCCGTTCCCTATCCTGTGCCGGTTATCTAGCTCGGGTTGTTTGTTTGTTTGCCTTGTTTATGCCACTTTTCTTGCATTTCTTGCTGTGGCCGGCACAAAGTTTTGTTAATTGAGTTTGTTGAAAGTTTTATTAAACAGCGCGACGACAGCCGCATTCAACTTTTTATTTTTTATTTTTTTGTTTTATTTTTGTGCACTTTTCAACTTTATCTCGTTGTTTTTCAAATTTAATGCCGCAAATTTGCTCTGTCCTTGCATCCAGGTGCATAGACCAATGGGCAGTTCTCTCTGTCTGTTGGGGGCGTTCCAATGTGGTTTGATTGTCGCAAAGTGTTTGTTTGTTTCATTCGATGCCGCCTGCATTGGCAAAAGGTCAAACTGTGGGCGTACCAACGGCTTTGCAGCTGATGCGTTAAGCGTCAACACGGCGTATGCGCGATATTAAGTTTTTTGCATGCGACACAAAGCAAACGCGAAATCTCCTACTTGACGTTATGTAAATTTTTGTGCGCAACAAAGAAAAGGCAATATTTTGCTATTTTTGCCGTGCGTAGCTTACATGATAAATAGCCTTTGAAAAAAAATGTAAACATACTCAACTTTCTTCTCCTGTTCCGCGACACTAACTTTGAACGACATAGTTCAGCTTTGGCTCTGTATATTGGTCCAACGATATATGCAGTTTTTTATCTGTTGTATTGCATATATCTTATGGCATATTGTTTTTTTTTTATTTCAAAAGCCTTAGATAGAGCCTTGCATTTTTAAATGCCTTTTAAGGAGTTTTTACAGCGTTAAATGCAGTTAATTCGGGCCTCCGACAGTTGCTTTTTGAACTGGTCAAGTAAACCTTTATTAAAATCTGCATTACAGAAAAAAAGAAGATGTTTTCATGAATTCGTGCCAATTTAATTTATTGCCAGCCTATATACCGTAGCGAATCAGATCTGCGAACTCTGTGCAATGCGAATTCACTTTATCTCAGTTTATTTCAACTGCAATTAAATTCCATGCTGCACTTTTTGGTTAATAATAATAATAATACACATGTTGTTTATAAATCAACAAATGCATAAATCACTGCAACGAAAATTGGCTGGAAAATGTAATTTTATATATACGCTTCAATTGCCTTGAGCATTGTAAGGCCTTCAACTGCCACAGCCCCAACTCTTGATTCTCCTCTCCTCTGCCAGGCAAATGCAAATAAACAGACAAGTGTGCGTGTGCGTGTGTGTGTGTGTGACTGCGTGTGTGTGCGTATGCATCAATATAAATAAATAAATCTTTGCTGGCAAAACAACAAAATCAGTTGCAATGGCACGCACACAAGTCCACCACCAACAGCAACAGCATCAGCAACAACAACAACAACATAAAATGCGCACTGAAAAATAATAATAACAATTTAATTAAAACATGCAGCAAAATCAAATTGCACACACAAATTGACAAGAGTTGCAGCAGCAGCAGTGGCAAGTTGCCGGCTTATGAAAACGCAATTCGTATTTGGGGGGTTTTTTTTTTTTTTAATTGATTTCATATTTGGCAATATTTATTCACATTTTTTACGCCCACTTGCAATATTATTAAAGCCTCTTTGTTTTATCATTTATTGTTTGTTCAAGCGGTAAACATAATTGAGAGAATTATACCGAAAGCTTCTATCTTCAAATCAGGAACCACAAATAATTTATTTATACTAATGCCCGCATAACACGTACAACACAATATTAGAATTATCATACAATTTTTATTTAACAAAATTAAAAAAATAAAAAAATAAAAATACAAAAACCAAATGGAATAATGTCTGTAAACAAAGCAGACTAATAGGTTTTTGCTCATAGAGTGAGTAAATAAAAATTCAGAACAACAAGGGCGAATAAACTGAATATTGTTATCGAAAGCATTGTTTGCATATTTATATAATATTTATTTATTTTATTTGAAGCTAATGCGAAGCCTACAAAATGTTGTTTCACCGAGCAGCAATAAATTTCACACCAAATAGTTATATAGAGTGCGGCCATGCAGTTGGATCGATTTTGTTTTTAAAGACTAAAGACTAAAAGTAACCGAACATTTTATTTAATCAGCTTTGGTATACGCAATATTCGACACTCTTTGCATCCCGGTCTGTATCTCTCTCTCTGCCGTTTTCTATTGCTAAATGCATAAAATACCATTCAATAGAATGACATTATTTTCATGTTTTATGAATTTTGTGGCTTTTGCTTTGAATGCGAACCATTTGAACATTTGGTTGGTGCAAAACGCGGGGCGTATTGTTACATTTGAGGCCTCTTTGTTACAATGTTTTGGCCTTGATGTCCGGCTGACTGTGTATTGACCGCAATATGCAAGCGTTAGACAGCCAGCAGTATAACAACAACAACAACAACAATGGCTGGGTAATGATGACAACCAAAAACCGCAGCACCCAAAACGTTGGGCGTGTTTCTGTGCGTGAGTGTGTGTGTGTGTGTGTGTGTGTGTGCATGTGTGTGGATATTATAATTATATTAGTGTGCCCAGTGCACTGTTTGAAATGTAAGCAATCAATTCAAAATTAATGCAAATGCAGCAACATTTTCGCCAACACACACGAATTTACACGAACACACACACGCACACGCATATAGAGGGAAACAAAACATGGCGCACGGAAGTCGTCGGTTGCGGTTTGCAGAGTTGCCAGCCAAAGAGATGGGACAATCCCCTTAACTGTCACCATTACCGTTACCAGCGGCGTTGCCATGCCAATGCACAGCAGCTGTCAGTGCAAACGCCCACAACTGTCAAATTCATCAAAATCGCACGAATGCACACACACACGCACAAACGCACACAATCGCACACACTCGCATAGATACGTACATAGATAGTTAGATAGTTGAACAGTTGTCGACTGTCAGCCACCTGGAAATGTTGCAACTGGTCATTGTTGGTTATTAGTTGTTGTTGGTAATTAGTTGTTGTATCTTGTTGTTGCTGCCAGCTGAAGCGTTTTAGTTAGTTGAAGTGATTAGCATCGTTAGTGGCTTTTTCGTTGGCACCAAAGCGGAAATGCAGCTGCAAAGGCATTGGTCAATTTAATAAGCTGCATTAATGAGTTAGCCGAGTGTATCTGTATCTACAACTATATCAAACTATAGCAGTATCTGTATCTGCATCAGCAACAGTATCTCTGTGTGTTTGCCTACTGCGGCTTACATTTGGCAGCAACACGTAATTCAATAAATTTCAATTCAGTTAAATGAGCTGCTTGCCTGGCCAATCTTGCCTGCCAACCTGCTGCGACTACAACAAAATATTATATTTTATTGTTGTCCGTTTGTATGCGGTGTATTTTGTTTTCGGTTTGCCCTTAAACAGTAATTAATATGTCACATATTCTGGCAATGGGCAAAACTGTCGCCCAAGGTTTCGCAACGACAAAAGCCATATAAATATATTCGTTTACGAAATGATCGAAACAAACATATATATATATACGTGCGTGTACAAATTTGTATGCTGTTTGCATTTAAATGGATTCTATTAGAAAAAGTGTTGCCATAAAACAATATTGCTGTGGAAGGCTGCCGCATTCGTCCATTTTTAGAGGCGCACGAGTTGAGAACGGGCAGCAGTTATATAAGAATAAATGCGAAAGTAATTTAAGACCTTAGCTACTCTTCTTCATATCAATCAAGTTTTTCACCTTTCAAAATACTTCATATAGTTAATCAAAGTGAGGTCTTTGTTGCTATAGCTTAATGTATTTGTAATTCACTGTAATTTGTAATTAACTAAAACTCTTTTGAATAGAGAAAATAAATGAAAGTTAAATACTAGATCTAACAGATGGTTGTATGTGCTGATTGTGGTTTATTGTTAAGCTTTTGGGCCTAACCCACAATTAAGAGTGTGCTGGTCAAAAGTGATCGACTAGAAGGTACTCTGCATCTAGCTGCTAACAGGCGTATCATACATTCGTTGAATTCTTTATGATCTGTCTCTATTTAATTATCATCAAAGATATATATTCCAAATATATTTATCTCTACAATCACACGAACGAATTTGGCTATCTCTTTACGGTCCTTAATGTTGGCCAAAATATAAATATATGTACGAAAAAGAAAAGCAAACCTATTTGCTGTTGTTGCTGCTTTTCCTGGGCATTTGCTCCAACACATATTCCCCGAAGAAATTTCCTTTTGATTTCACGCCGTAATTGGGTGTCAAAGGTTTCTTTTGTTGCTGCGATTTTCTTCTGTTCGGTTTTTTTGTGCCTGGCACTTATTGACATCTGCCACCTACCCCAATGACGTAACCGTACAAATGGGAGTGTGTGTGACTCCTACATAAAAAAAAAATATATATATATATAGCATATATAAAAAGATATGTGTGTATTTGTTGCGCTATTTGCACAGAAATTGTTTGGGATTCTCTGTCGTATTACTTTAGATGGAAATCGGCAGCGCAGCAAATGATTGTCATGACGATAGCACACAAATTGACACCGAAGCTAGCGAAAGGGACACAAGCCGAAAGTCACACTAGATCAATATAATATGCGATTTGAATGACGGCCAGACTGACTGTCTGACTGACTGACTGTCTGACGGTCGAACTGACTGACGGACTGCCTGACTTACTGAGAAGAGGCAGGCCCGATAATTTGACAGGCAACTCGAAACCCAAATTTAATTGGCATGAAATCAAAGCTTTAACATGCTTATAACAAAAATACGAATAGCTCCAATGATATAACATGCTAATTTAAAGGGCAAAGTCAGCATTCATGCGGAAAATAAGCATAAGGAGGAGCAACAGTTGCTGCTGTTGCTGCTCGAGCTGCGATTGCGTAAGCTAAACCAAAAACCGGAAGTCATAAATCATATATGCCATGCATAGAGTACAGCAAAGCAGTGTATATGTGTGTGGGTGTGTGCTTGTGTGTTTGTGTGTGTATGTGTGTGAAGCGCACTAACCACAGGTGTTGGTTGGGTCAGTCTGCTTTGGCAGTACCCGAAAAACTATGCTAGCTGAATTGTGCAAAAACCTTCGATGGTTTTTTATTTTTTATATTTTTTGTATTTTCTTTCCCTTATTGCATGATTTTTCGGGGGGTAGCGCAGTTAGTTTAAAATTGTATTTTCGTTAGTGCATATGTATATGT